ATTACAACACTTCAAACAATGAATGAAAAGTTTATAAAACGATAATAACAGATTCTCTCATTTCAATGGGGATTATTAATTTTAGTTTAGTTTAGAAGAAAAGAAAGGGAAAATGATAACAAAAACCTCAAAATAATAAATGTATATAATTTAAAATTTGATAATAACAAAAACCTAAAAATAAAAAATGTATATAATTAAAATTTTGATTTATGCATGAATGGCACTAATTTTTATTGTAAAAATCGAAACAAATGCATAAAGTTACAATCAGAAAATCATTAAAATTCAAATGCCCACCAACGCAAAGATAAAAAATATAAAACCAGTAATTTTTCAATGAAAACAAAGGAAGGTTAGATAAAGGGGGGGGGGGTAGATTGACGGGGGCAGGGATGTATTATTGTTAAGCTGGAGACTGGAGATTAGATAAAATACAAATATTATTAATATGTAACATACAAGTTACAACAGTTTGATACTATTGTATTGTATATAATTTATTAAATATTGGATTCCAATTAATGATTAGATAATATGACATTAGATTACAGTGATGACTAAATAGTTAGGAAGTAACACCAAAATTACCAAGTGTTGGTTGTATTCTTAAACTAGTACAAAACAACTCCAAATAGTACTACAGTGATATCCATTTAGTGATAGTAATATGAACGGAAAACAACTTTTTTTTTGTGGGNGGAATGGTTTTACTACAGGTTCATTATGTTAATTAAGTTCTTATAAATAGTTCTTTAACAAAAGGAAACTTCAGGAGTCCATAAAGAACATATGAGATAAACTTGAAGACTGCAGTTTATTAAGAGAACTTGGGGTACTTATATCCATTAAGTACTTATGGGGTTTTATGGAGTCCATTAAGAACGTAAGAAATACTTGATCGACAGCAGACCATTCTGACCTTTAAAAAGTACTTACAGAGTTCATAAAGAACGTAAAGTACTTCTAGAGCCCATTAAGTACTTTATTATAAATGGATATCGTTATTTGAGTACAAATGAAGTGCTCAAAAACAGTGGGTTCTTTAAATCTAACAATTATATTATATTTTCAAAAACATTTGAAAACTAGGAGAAAATTCATACTTGTCACAACACATGAAACAAGACATAAACTATGTTACTTAATTAACAGATAAAGTCGAATTTGTCGAAATATTCATAATTCTGTGACCTTTAAGCATTACAACTAATAAATATGGCATCTGTAATTGTAGCATTGGTTCGGTGGAGACTGGAGACTGTATTCTGTTTCACCCATTTTTTCACAAGTAGAAATCCGATTCCGAGATTTATCTGTCAGTCAGGATTCTTCTAAATCTGAACTTACTCAGGAAACAGATTCAGACCAACAGATCTCATCCTGAGCAAATACAAATAATCAATTAATATATAGTTTTAATAAACCCTGAGGCTAAGTGTTTTAGAATGGTTGTGTAATGTGTATTAAGGAGGGGGATGTATCAGGAACTATTAAGAAATCTGTTAAAAACCTCCTATTGGTTCCAGACCAGACGTATGATGTATGAGGTGTAGGGGGGGGGGTGAGAGAGGGAGGAAAGGAATCACTTTCTTCATCCGAAGTAATCCAGCTGTCACTGTCAACAGCACTGCTGTTTTCCTCACTTCTAAATAAATAAATCTATACTTATTTTAATTTCATTTTTCAAAACTTTAAAGGCGTTTAACTTCTTGAAAATCTACACCTGTGATCGCATTGAAGTGAATCACTAAAAAGACGAGTCAAATTAGCATTGCAAAATTAGAATTTATCAAATTGGTGGCCATACTTTATTCCTTAAAATTGTACTGGTTCGCTTTTGGTAAAACCCAGGGAGTAAGAAATAACTGACGCGGTACGCCCTACCAAATGATTATACATGCTTTGCAGACGGTACTCCATTTGAAATATTTATCTGATGTACAATTACCGCGTATACAATAACCTATTTTGAATATTTTTACAAATGGAGTACCCGTCTGCAAAGCCTGTATAATCATATGGTAGAGCGAACCGCGTCAGTTGTATCTCCATTCTATACCTTACTCCCTGGTAAAACCTTGTAATAAAATATGACACAATGTGATAAGCAGGACCAGGTGATCAACACTTCTTTAACGTTTTTTATGTTAAAACTTAATGAACCATTTAGAGACAAGGAAATAATCTCGTTTTTTAAATAGTTTTGTGAGAGCGAAGTTTTTTCATGCTTTTGGTTGATACATTTGGATTTAGATTCATGGATCTAAATATATTTTTGCGAATCCATTGAATCCGGATCCTCAGCACTGAGCTCGACGATGAGAACTTAAACTTACGTGACTGGGGTTTCCTTAAACTTACGTGACTGGGGTTTCCTTTAACTTACGTGACTGGGGTTTCAAAATAGGGAATCCTTTGTGCAGAGTGATTCTCACTCTTAGCTTGGGCAGTCACCAGTCCTCCGACCCGGCCTCCGCATTCAAGACGACCTTCACTCTTGGCCTCGAACTCTTCATCCTTCTCACTTTCAGAACTAGATACAATATTCTTTAAGTTACAACCTTAAAGTTCTTAAAAAGTTTGCTTTTTCTCTAAAAAGGAGAAACAATATACATTAATCAATACCTACCTATTGCTTAATAAGATTGACCTTAGAAAAAATGGATAGGGATCCGGGTCTTCAAGATTTCGAGTCGAGTCGTTAAGAGATAAGGATCTTTGTAAAATTCCCTTTTTCAACAGTTCAATTTTGGGGTTTGAGAGCAAAAAGTTTTTTTTTGGTTAATATTTTGCCCCTTGGATTCGCATATTTTTGAGGATCCGGATCCAGGAAGCCAAAAAATTGCAGATCCAACGGACCCGGATCCTAAGCACTGATTGATATATGATCCAATAAAATATTACGTAATCAAGAATCAGCTAAGATATTACTTTATTGAGAACTGGATTAAAATATTACCTTAAAGAAGACTGGTTAAGATAAAGACTTGCTTTGAAATTTACTTCCTCCTCAAAGTCCGGCTAAATATTAATAATGTTAGTAATATAAATTATAAAAAAAATAACAGATCAATTCCGAGAATATATTTGAGGATTTTCATTCAGCTTTCAAGCCTCAGCTCGGAGAGTGGATATCAAGATATTAGGATATTTAGATGTCAAGATGTCAAGATGAAGCCAGGAAACCCAGCGTGGATCAGGGGAATCATAGTTCACCGTTTGCACGCCCCTTGTCGTAAATTACGATTTTACATACTCAACCAATAATCTCGTGGCTCTTTCGAGTTCCCAAATCAAAATTAGAGGCAAATCGGACCAAGGGTTCCCAAGTTATGATCGGACAAACAAACAGACAGACGAACAGAGATTACAATTTTATATTTGTAAAGATATAAAGATAAGAGAGAACAAAGATATGTTCCAGTAAGTGTGATTTAAAGATAAAAATATAAACATATAAAGAAAATATATAAAGATATAAAGATAATAAAGATATGTTCCAAAGTGTAATTTAAAGATTTGAAATACCTTTGTAGTTTTAGAAGCATGCCCGGCCACCAGTGCATGACCAATCTTAACAATCATCCGGTCCTGCCAGGTTAGCGGGTTCGAGTACATGAACCCACCCTCGTAAAATCCAAGATGGCCGCCGAACTTTTGTTCAACGTAGATAAGATTGTCGTTGTTCAACGTTGCGTCTCTGAAATGTTGAATTTTTTGGTTCCTAACTTAGTAATTATTGAATCTGACCCCGTGTGGGTAATTCTTAATTTATGGCAGTAGCCAGCAACCAACCAAGCAACCAACCAAGCAAGCAACCATTTAGAATTCATTTCAATTCAATTCAAGCGTGTCTTTGCGAAACGTAATTACTGAGTAGGAGCACAAAACTACTTATTTTCAATGATAAGAGATCATTTATTATAAGTGTTTCTATACACAATTCATCATAGGAGAATCGGAATTCCATATTTTGCGCTAAAAAAATACACAACGTAAAAGTGCGCTTCTTTCAGCGGATTTCCATTAGCCAAGCCTCTTATCAGAAGTCGGGAAGAACGTTGATGTCTCATTTAATTTCTACCCCCTTCAACACCCTCCTCACCCCCACCGCATACGCCCATAAACTAGTCAATCCTTTTCCAGTCATTCAATACGAAAACGAGTAAGGAACGGGTTTCTAGTCTTTTCTTGTCTTTTAAGTTTTACGTGTTTTGACATTTTTCATTTGAAAAATTCCTTATTGTAACGGTTACACAGTTTTCTAGTTCTTTTCTTTATTTTTTCAAGTTTTTTTTTCATTATTTATTTTATACTAGGCTTTTAGGACGCTTCGCGCCCATCTTCTATTTAAATTGTGAACATGTTCTTTTGTTTACATTTTAAAACAAAGAAATTTTTTTTGCGGATTTAAAAAAAAAATCGCGGATTTTCAAGAATTTAAATTTTTTACAAAATTAAAAACCTTTATACACATTTTTATTTTATTTTTATCATGCATAAACCTTCCCTGTGGTCACGTGATGTTTGTGATATTATAGAACGAACTCCTGATGATGCCAATGTTTTCGGCGAAATAAGTTAAGATGGAAATGATGTAATTCTATTGATAGAGAGTAGGGTTGGGATTTATTTAAAAACGATCTAAAGTTTAACATTTTTATTTTCTTCCATAATCTACGTAGCTTCTTAAAATATATACCCCTGAAGTGGAAAGCCTCTTTCCCCGTTTTAAATCTAACTACATACCTGATGACCTCTAGGAGAGGAGGGGGAACTATGGGGTCATCTAGTGAGTTCATGAACACCATGGGTATCTTAATATTCTTCAGGTGGTGACAGCAGCTCATGGCTTTGTAAAAATCTAAACAAATTTTATTGTATTATGTTTCCAGAACTATTTAGTATATAGTGTGTGTGTGTGATTAAAAGGAATAATTTAGGAAGACTCAGAAGAACCTTTATGAGCCCAAAACTAAAGAATGAAAAGTTACCACTTAAATACCGCCCGGACCACTTATGACTTGGTTAAAACCGGAACTTTTAGCTATAATGCGTGAATATTTAACTTGTCGATTTTTAACAATTAAATTATTTAAACCCGTGATCATCCACATTTTTTCAATTTGTCTCGTTTATCCTGACTCCGGAGAAAGTCAACTTTGCAATGTAATAACGGAATGATAACGGTTTATTTGTTCGTTAGTTATCTTCCGTTTACGTAACATAATCCACAATAAAATTATTTCTTTATAAAGTTTTCCTCTAAATCTTTATAAAGAAATAATTTTATTGTGGATTATGTTACGTAAACGGAAGATAACTAACGAACAAATAAACCGTTATCATTCCGTTATTACGAACTGTTATAGAAACAAAATTGCAAAAGTTAAAATTTCGTAGATTTTGCGGAACAAAAGCTACGGAGGGGGGGGGGGAGGATAATAAATATTTACCATGAACTGTATTAAACCCTGCAAGTTTCCTAGTGTAAATATCATCTAACTCCTGTAAGGTTCCAGAATTAAAGACCTAAAATCATAAAATATTAAAATTCATGCAATGACATTCATTAAAATTTCAAAAATTTGCTTATGAATTTCCCTAAGTGATAACAGAAAAGTAATAAAAGAACAATTTAAAGTTTAAGAATACATCCCCCCCACCAAAAAAAAAACTTTTTGATGCTATTAATCTGTTATTGTCATAAAAAAGTAAATATAATAACTTAAAAGTTCTCTACCCCAATAATGTTTTTAAATATACAAAAAAAATTATAAGCTTAACAGTTTCTTCAAACTTACAATATATAACTTTAAGAAAATCGAAAACGTTTTTAAATGTAGGACTCTTTGTATCTGATTCAGCCTCCTCCTCACCTGTCTTTCTGTGACTCCGAGTTTGCGCTTAATATCATCGCTAAAAAGAGCGGGTGTCCACCGCCGAATAATAGCTTTCATGTTCTCTACACAAGTACAATCTTATTAGACTCCGACAGCCGTAGTACATTTGAATTTCCGAGCCGCGTCAACCTTTCCGGTCCCAGTGTGTGCTGTACATAGCTCTATTGACGCGGTCAGATTTTAAGCTTCATATAGGTAGAATTTACTTTTACTAAAGAAGCAGAGGTACGTGTAGAAGCTAACAAATTGGAGATTGCAGAACATAAAAGGGGGGTTAAAGGAACTGTAGTTTCAAGAGACTCTAAATGCAAAGATGGCAATGCCTGATTCACGACAGTACCGTTATAAGCTATGAATGTTTATAATTTTAAAAGCTGATTATTTCAATTAAAAAATGACCAAAATTAAGCACAAACCTATAAAACCGACAATATCTTCAATATTTTTGATCAGGGGTACCGTTGTGAATCAGCCACTGCCATCTTTGCATGGATCCAAAATTTTGGAGTATTATGAACGTTTTATACGAAACTCGCTTTCAAGAAATTAAAGAGAGATTGATAGGTAATAATAATAGTAATAAGAAAATGTTAAATGTTAATACTTTAACCTAAAAATTCGTTTATATTCGCCATTTAGATAGATAGATAATAGATTTATCATTCACCAATATTCCTCCTTATACATTCAGGAAATGGGCTTTGGTTAAAAAAATATGAACCCTTAAAAAAAATTACCCGTCATGGCGTAGATATAAAGACGACGGAATCCTTTCCATTCTAACAGCAGATGCATAGCCCTAAATATATTTCATTTGTTTTGGGAAATAGGCAATTTTTAAATCAATTTTAAAACATTTTGTCAATTCAATATTTGATCCTAACTCATGAACTACTAAACCAATTTACTTGATTGATACTTGACTGTTATTAAGTTTGGTTTTCAAGTACTTGAATTAAGTGGGTTGAGTTTACAGCGAAATTTCAGTTACGAATAAATTACTAAAAATGTTTGAAAATTATAAATTTACCTGTTTGCATCGTATCCCTGGCAAACAGAAATACCAGCAATTACGTTGGAAGGTTTGATCCTATTTTCATAATATTTTATTTTATTCAACAGTTTTTCTTGTTCAGGCGTTCATTAAAATTGCAGAATTAATGATAACAGCCTTTAGAGCCTAGAAATTGTACTATAAAAAAATTAAATTATGCAAATGTTAACAAATCTATGAAAATGTTCTTAGATGAACAATGTAGGCTCGAAATTTTCAATAATTTAAAAATATTATTTTCCTTGGCTCTCCAATATATTTAGTCACAAGGTTTCCTCCCATAGAGAACCCTAGCACTATAATCCTTGTAGTCCGGTACCTAAACAATATACATAGAGAACCCTAGCACTATAATCCTTGTAGTCCGGTATCTAAACAATATACATAGAGAACCCTAGCACTACAATCCTTGTAGTCCGGTACCTAAACAATATACATAGAGAACCCTAGCACTATAATCCTTGTAGTCCGGTACCAAAACAATATTTAGTCTTACATAGAGAACATTCATGGACGCTTAAATCAAAATGTTTTTCTGTGAAATGGTGTTAATGCAAACAATATTGTAGCTAACAAATTATTACATATGTATAAGGGAACCTGGAGACTGCACTGCACTGGTTAGAAATTACCTTCGAACAATGTCCTTGATCATAGCAGAATAGTCGCAGGTGGCCCCGTAATTGAAAATCCTAAACAAATACATATTAACTCCTTTCCTATTACATCCCCGCTGTTTCTGACATCCTCTTAATACTTTTTCCAATGAGTAGGACCAAAGATTCATCACTTCAGAAAAATAAATGTTCTACTAAATTTGCTTTAAATATTAATTACTTTCTTTGTTTGATATTATTAATAATAATATTTTGTTTATTATTTTGGGAAAAATAAATTAAAAAATTAACAGAACAAATTTCAATTGCCTTTTGGTAGGCACTAGTTGATTCCCTAAGTAAACATTTATTATAATTATAGATTATGCACAATCTACATGATAAATAAGTTATATTTACAATAAACAATGTACAATAATGTACATGTAATGTAAGTGTACAACTAAGTACTACCTGGGGCTAGTAACTGGAACGGTGGGTAGAGTTCCAATATGATTCAGTACAGCAACCCTGTACCCATGCTTCTGGGCGTTGTAAACAGTTCTCCTGAAAATCAAAGCGTTGCTTTTAATCCTTTTCGTGACCAATCCATAAAAACAATTCAAGTTTTAAATTTTGAGATATAAAATGCGATGAGTTACATGAAAGTCGAAACCAACTCTTATTAATAGATCTCCTGCAAATAAACCTGGAGGTTAATTGCCATTCCGTTTGCAATATTGAGACTTTCCAATTGAAGCTGCTCGAATATAACAATAATTTACATAGGAAACCATATTTTTAAATAAAAATTTATCTTAACCGATCGGTTATAAAGAAAAATCCACATGAGTATCGACCTAACAAAGTTTTTATAAAATGTCCGAAAAATGCGGGAAAAAATGAGGGGGGAAACCCCCCATTTCGGTATTTCATTAAAAAACTAGATCCCAAATCAGACCTGCATGCAAAGAATCCCAGAGATAAATCTCTTAAACCAAGTAAAAAAGCCCCCCCCCCTTTTATAGAAATGTGAACACTGGACATTCCCCTTACAGCTTTAAAAAATCAACTGTTGTTTGCACGCAGCTTACCTAATATAAACGGATTCACTATTGTTCCCGATCCCTGGGCATATAGCGAGTGTAAAGTCTCCGCCTTCGGGATGTTCCTCCAGACTCTGGTAGAGATCATAGCTAACCGTCGCCCCGTCGGTCAATTTCAAGAACACCCTGTACCCGTTCACCAGGGGGCAGTGCAGACGGGAGATTACACCCTACACAGTATATTTATTTGTGTAAAACGTCTTAAGAGAATTATTTACACGATTCGGCCTGCGTTGCCTGCAGGAAAGGACAGGACGGGACGGGACAGGACAGGACAGGACAACCGTGTAAAAAAAACCCGAAGTATCTACACGTAATGTTCGGAGTGTGAAAAAACATTGCATAGCTCATGGTGACATGCCCCCACCACCTCCTTCCCTCGCCCCAATAGTGGAATTGAAATGAAAGACTTTAAAACTAATTGACATTCTTCGAATTAAATTATAAAATAAACTGTTTTAAAACAAAATAAAGAAAAAAAATCTATTATCATAATCTATCACCTGAATGATAGTTTGAATATGTCCGCTGAAACCCCAGAACCTTGTTGGAATATAAGGTTCACTCAACTCCGGAACACGCTTGAGGAACGCGTCTAGAAACTGCGCGTTGGCGCAGTACAGCAATGATTTCTCTGAATACAAAATAGTTTTGCCAAAATCAAGAATATTATAATATTCACTAAAAATATTAAAGAAATCTATAATTATTCTAATATTTATAATTAAAACATCTCCGGTATAGGTATATACCGGTGTCCACCGCCGAATAATAGCTTTCATGTTCTCTNATAAGAATGCATGCTACAAGCACAAGGCTGAGCATACCGTCTGAAATATCACAATAAATAATTTTTGATCACGTGAAGTCGAATTACGACGAGTTTCACAGGATTTAAACCCAATGTAATATTATTAAGGAGATGGCGTAAAAAAACAGTTTACCAGCAAGTGTTGCAAGAATCATGAATAGATCCTGACTGTGTTCCATTTTTATACAACTGAATTTTATTGCGCCTCAGCCCCAAATCATTGAAATATTAATTGCGCATTTACTGGTATGAATGGTTGGTCACAATTTTGAAGATTCGCATATCAACAGATAGTTTCATAAAATGCGTTGTATATTGATAATCTTAATTCATATAATCGATGTTGGTTGTTGAAGCTCGTTGTCAGAGAATGATTTTTATGGTAGAACAGTTTTCGCAGAAAACAAAGCTGTTGGTTTAGTTGGATTAGTTGGATTTGAGGGAAGTTATTTGAGTCGCTGTAGTACAGCAGCTCCGAGTAGTCCTGCGTCCTGTTGATTTAACACATTAAACATTTCAACAACCGTCCTTTCTAGCCTCCTCAAAAAATGGAATCAAGGGAAATTCATAATTTATATGGCAAAAACAGCAGAAAAGGGTGAAAATACATAATCTTTATCAAAATAAATTAAATTCAAGGATTCAAATAAAAAAATATAATCTTCTGCCCACCCCCCAAATCTTAAAAACTTGGGCTCGAGCCGTAATTCCTTAAACCCTACTTTAAGACCCAATATTCGACCCAACTCTGACGACAACAGCTGCAAAATCTTCGGCTCGACTTAGGCCCGATGAAAATAAAACCGACCTTGGTTGGTTTCAGTGGAGAATAAGGCTCAATGTTGAGTCTTGTTCTCATCAAAACCAGGAATGCGCCAATTCCATCCATTGAAAATCCGAAAAATAGAATATTAAACCGGTTTTTTGAACTCAACTCTGTGGAAAATAAGATGCAGCTTGAATCCGAAAGCTCAAGCCATAAATAAGGCCTAACGACAGCTAAGACCTGCGTCGTATTTTCCCGATTTTTTAAATATCGTCTTCCGCCGATATCTAAACGTTGTCGTTAATAAACTTGACATAATTAGTTGGTTAATGGTTCCTTGATTGTCTGTTTATCATCAGTCAGCTCTTTGTTAGGAAACGTTGTCATGAGAGAGAAGGGTACACTAGCATACTCGGACCTAAGAACAAGTAGTTGCTTCAATATAAAAAATGTATAAATGTAGAAATACTGTATACTAAATAGTTATTATCAAATCTACATTTTATTCAAAATGTACATGTACAAATGCAGCAATTTATATATACTAGACTTGAAGCGCCCATCTTCTATTACAACTTCTGTGAGCATCTTCTCTTTGTACAATATAAAACAATAACAAAAAATATGTGTTCGTGGATTTTCAAAATTTTGCAAAATCTAAAACTAGAGACAAATTTTTTTGGAATTCTGGGCATCCATAAACCTTCCCTGTGGTCCCGTGAGATCCCACAAAAAATTTGGTCCCTATCGGTTCAGCCGTTTTGACGTTTATTGGTTACAAACAAACAAATAACATACAAACAAGTGAATTATTAATTTAATGCCCATCATCTATCTGTGAGCTTCTTCTCTTTGTACACAGTATAAAAAATAAATAAATAAAGTTTGCGGATTTCATATTTTTTTGTGCATTTTCAAAATTTTATAAAAATTATTTTGATCATTCATAACCTTCCCTGGGTCCACGTGAGGTCCCACACAAAATTTGGGCCTGATCGGTTCAGCCGTTTTGATATTCTTGGATCAAACCTACATACAGGGTTACCCACACAGGATGGGACTTCAGATTCGACTTAACGGACTTTATACTGTCTGTTTCCTTGTTTTTATAAATCCCTGCGACTTTAAACTTATTTATTTCTTTTTAAATCATTAAATACGTCATTGAAAGACTACATTCGAGGCAGAAGATTAATTTAAGCCTGAGGATAGCCATATTTAAAAAGTTGCAGGTCGTCTTTACAGTCTCATCCTTAGTGGGTGACCCTGTAGTATAACTATACACCATTCTGTGGTGGAACTCGGTTCGAATATACAGGGTGTCCCACGAAACATGACAGTTGGTAAATAGTTATGAAAGTCGTCTTTTATATACTTTATTAGATATTAAAGGCTTTTTGAAGTATTTTCCTTAAAAAATCTTTTTATGGAACATATTTACTTTGAAACCAGTTTTACTATTACATGACTCCCATATAGTATTTGTATTATTGTCTTTGGTATCAAACAACTTAAGAAATTATGGAAGAAGACATTCTAAATTATTCACCAACTGTCATGTTTCGTGGGACACCCTGTACCTGGCACCTTTTCATAAACTTCCAACTTGTAAAACAAATCAAAATACCTGGCAGTACAGATATACGTCCTCAGATCTGCCACGAGGTGGGTGTGGTTCAACTTCACCACCAACCTAGACCCATCTGCCATCCTCACCTAGAAACACGGATTATGAACAATAAACTTCATATAAAAAGGGTTGTTAACGATTCACAACGATATCTTTTAAAACCGGGCGAAGGAAAATTAAATTAATTAAGAAAAAAGGATTTGTTCTTCTACGAGCTAAAAATATAATTGATTAAACGATAATCGCAAAATAGGAAAGATCAAAGACGATTGAAAACTGATCAATTTTCAATAAATTTCGGTGCTTTGTGATTATGACTGGAACAGAAAAAAAATATTTTGCTAAGAGACTTTTTTAACGATATGTTGAGAAGGTTTGTACTATTTAGGGATTGTTGGACGAGTGTCTCTAAAAAAACTGTTCAGGCCACATTTCTAAACCAATTTTTGTACACAAAATTATATATGAATAATTTCCGAACAAGAACATTGTATCCTGTCTGTAGAAAAGTGCCGGAAGCGGAAACCTTTCGTCATGATTTTTTACAAACAAATATAAGATGATGGCTAATTTTGATGTCCAAGCAAAAGAAAATCTGTTTGAAACTAAGGCTAAGACATCAATTACTGTCATGCATCTAAGAATTTTTATCAACGTGCAAAAATTTGCTTTACACATGATTTGTGTCACATTTAGTATTTTATCATATAACCAAAAACGTGAAAATCCAACCGTTTTATTGAGACACTGGTTATTTATGGATTTAGATTTTTCGAATTTTTAAAACCTTTTGATAATTTTACCAAAAATGCTTTCCCCTAATTCAGCTGTTTTAGATTTAGATATAACAGCCATAACACAACAATTCCTTTTGCGCTCTGTGCACACAGTGACATACCCTATATCTGGTAAAAGAACATGATTTTTCACTTAGTCACAGATTTAACAGTATAATGAAGGATAGATTTCTATATACAGGGTGAGCCACATAAAATCAGATCTAATACTTTTGAGTAAACACAATCAGTTCTTAATAAAAGACACAATACCTAGTTCAGAATTCAATCCAACAAATTCAAAGTAAAGGAAAACAACAATCTAATAGATTCAACAAGTTTAACTTGCTCCCTGGCTTTAGTTTCTGCTTGGAGAGGATCTGCAGTGGACTGGGAAGGAATACTCACCTAAAAATTTATTAATAAAAATTCATAATCAAAGATACCTTCAATTGGTGATTATTCGATATTTTTATTTCACGTATTATTACAAATAGGATTATAAAGATCTGAAGTTCACAGACAGATTATTATTATTATTATTAATAATCCATCATAAAATAAAATAGAGGTAAACGCTCCTTGCCACCGTAGTGTATTTATAGACAAAACGGCCTGCCTTGTCATAGGAAGGCAAATAACCCAGGCGGTGCTCGAAATAGATTTATGAATTAAAAAGTTTGTGCCGTGGATATCGAGTTTAGTCTTTGTTAAAGCTAAGTTCTATCCCATTCAAAAGTTTCACACTCGACTCAAGAGGTCCAGAAACACAACCCTCAAATTCGAGTTCGTAATTTTGCGGGCAGGCTTCATTACTGTTAAAGCTAAGTGGATCCTAGATTTTTGACAATGTGTTCAAATTCATGATTTCATATTATTAGTTTAATTAAGTCTTACCAAATTTTCATTCTGTTAGCTGTTCATTTTTGAAAAATAATTTGTACTAAAAAAAGTTAGAAGTGAACTTCATGGCCTAAAACAGGGAGAAGCCTAAGAAGCCCTGGCGTAAGACGAAAGGAGATACTGTGTTGATATCTTGGAAACATACTACCCCCATAAGACAAGAGACGTCACTGCAGAATCGCTTATGTTAAATGGCATCACTTGGACATCATTTGACCTCACTTTTTTAAATATGTTTTTTTACATTTTTTTGTGATGTCAAAATGACTTAAAACATCCTAAAAAGATGTCTGCTCCTTATTTTGGGATTTCCCCAATGTGGTCGGCCTAGCCTAGAACCTATCTTATAAAGAATACCTGGGGAGCTATTGAGCCTAGAACTTGGCCAGAACCTTGAAATGGTTTCTTTGAGGCTTTTGGTTTCACATATTCCTCATTTCTAAAAAATGAATTGTTAAATACTGTATCATAGGATATATTGTAGAATAAATGTAGCAGAAGGAAAAAATCAGAATGTCAATGTCATGGAAAACTCACGATTAACTGTTATGGGCTGCAGTTTAAACAACTTTGTGATATAGCGCAAGACAAATCAAGGTTTAGCAAAAATAATGAACGATATTATATTATCAATTCTATCAAACAAATGGTCTCCGCCCGCGGTAATAATAAAAGCGAATTGCGGATTTCTACTACAAAGACAAGAAAGAAAATGACTGAGATTGTTTTACTTCTTATATATAAAACAAAGAAATCTGTTATTGTTATTCGTATTATTCATGAACATCAGCCAATTAGAAATTGACTGAATTGAAAGAAAAAGATAGTTTAGATCCAAGATGGCACCCTTTTAGAATATCATACCTGTGATCTTCCATGTCAACATGAACCTCCCCTCCCTTTGCCTCCTTCACTAGTTCGGACGGGATCGATCCTAACAATATCTACATTTGATAACATAACAGAGATATTTTACGATACGTTATCTTTAATCCAAACTCAGACCAAACCCTTAACTGGAAGTTTTGATATGGAAGATTGGGGGAAAACAAAGATAGTACAGAGGCTATCATATACTCATTACACCCAAATAGGTTGTCAAGTACAATAGTCGGCAACACAGAATGCGTACACTTTCAGTACAGCTGTTAACGGGATTGGTAAGAACAGTGTTCAGGGTTGGTATGCACAGTGTAAAGGATTAGTATTCACAGTGTACAAGGTTGATATGTACGGTGTACAGGATTAACATGCACGGTGTAAAAGGTTGGTATGTACAATGTACAGGGTTAATATGTACAGAGTACAAGGATAGTATGAATAGTGTACAAGAATGGTTTGCACAGTGTACAGGGTTGTTATACACATGTACAAGGTTGTTATGCACAGTGAACAAATTTGGTATGTACAGTGTACATGGATGGCATGGACAGTGTACAGGGTTGGTATGCACAGTGTACACTATACAGGATTGTTATGCACAGTGTACAAGGTTGTTATGCACAATTTACAGGGTTCATATGTTCAGTGTACATTGTACAAGGGTGGTATGCACAGTGTACAGGGTTCTTTTACACAGTGTACAGGGTTAATATGTACGGTGTACAGTGTACACTGTACAGTATACAGTACAGTGTACAGGATTGTTATGTACCGTTCAGTTTACAAGATCGGTTTTTACAATAAAAAGTAAAAGTTGAATGTTCATTTGAAAAGTGTACTGTGTACTGATCACAAAGCTTGAACTGAATATTACTGACCTGCCACATTTTCAATACAAATGTTCTAGGTTCTTCACTAGGGGCTGCAGAGGCTCCACCTAGAAATTATTTAAGTTATGTTTGTAACAGAATCAACTATGATCTGACAGAAAATCCAAAATAAGCCTGAGCAGAAAACTTTAGAATGGTGGATATCGAGATCAATGCTTGATCTTCTCTTTTAGTTAATCTCAATATTAATTTAATCATCAGTTGGTTTCAGCTTAACTTAATCAAGTTGGGTTTGGAGAAAACATAACAGTCAATCAGAGAAGCCGGGAAATATGAAATTTTGCGCGCTATTTAATTAGTGAACTCTCATTTGGGGGTTAAAGGTATCCAAAAGTTTTCAGCTCAGACCGTATAACTATTAGTCAACTCCGATTAACTAAAAAAGTATTTTTTTTTTTTAAATGCAGATCTTTGATTTTATCAAGTGAAGGAATTGTACTCAGATCCTTTCAGTTCAAAGTAAAAATTAACTAAAATAATAACAATAATAATAAGTGCAGTCAACCCCGATCCTTGGGATTAGGTTTCAGCTCCCGTGATGAGTGAGAGTCAAATATTAATTCTCTCCCCACAAGATTTAAAAATCCCCCCCTTAACATTTATCTCTAAGCTGAACCTCTAATGAATAAGTAAAATGTTTACCTATCGCTACACTTGGTTGATTCTCGCTTCCTAGACTATATCCACCACCACTAAATGCCTAAATTTTGATTTTTAGAAACCTCTAGGAGACAAAAACCAGTGCTTAGTTTACATTTCATTTTGAAGCAGATTCGGATGCTTCTGTTTAGGCTAAAACTTGATAAACCATACAGAAACAAAGAAATTTTTAATAGTCTCTCGTTTAACTTAAGTTAAGATTTGGAATTTGAGATCAAGTTTTTTTTTAGTGTTTAAGGTTGATATTTTGTCTCTTTAATCCGTGTCCGAGGTTCCGCTTTTTTGCGGATCCGGATCCAGGAAGCCAAAATGTTGGTGATCCAACGGTTCCGGATCCTGAGCACTTAGTCGAAAACTTAAAATATTATCTATAATTTGTTGAAAAACAGTTAGTTTGCAAGACAAATCAAATCTTAAATTTTAGTGAAAGTACTTAAGACTTCATTAACATCGATCTCTGAAGACTTGTTTGTTGTCATGAATAGAAAACTTGACTCACCAGACTACCTCTTGCACCTCCTTCTCCTGGCCGAACCTCTTCAGCACCGGACTCTTTGGCTTTTCTAGAGAAAAATTGATTATGGGATGGTTTGTGAAATTCCAACAGATCCTCCATCCCGATTCACAACAGCACCCTTGAAACTTTTATTTGATCAATAATGTTGAAGAATAGGGTTTTCTAGATTAAAGTGTTCAATTTTGCTAATTATCTCCACTGTTTCTGAAGTCACACAAAAGAGAACCACAATTGAAGTTAAAACAGTTTCAGTCCCTTTAGGTAAACATCGGCAAATCCATTCAAATCAGGAGGCGGAAACGTCATGTATGTGTGTCTGTACCAAGAGAGTTTGTGTAAGTAATAGCGAACCGAAGGCGTGTACAGTAGGTATATACAGTACATATGAATCTCGCTATTTGTACAGTCTAGGAGAGTAAATTTGTTTATTGTTAATAGTTTACTTAAAAATAAGTTTAATATACATGTAATATATTATAAATATATTTCAGTCAACACTTTAAGACAAATTTTCAGGCAAAGAATAAAATTTGATTAAAGTTTACAATGAACTACTCGATATTCAAGCTTAATTATAATTGACGACATTGTTCTGCAATTTCCTTGACTGTTGTGTGTCTGTACCAAAAGAGTGTGCGTGTGTGATAACGAACTCGTCTGCAAAGCAGTGCGACTGGCTTTCTCATGCCAGACCAGCGCCATTTCACTTCCCTTTATTCTTATTCCCTGATTCAAATCAGATTCAGAATCGTGTTAGCGTGACATTTTACACAAAGTGGATAACAGAAAACACGAGAATTAATATTTAGATAAAAAACGACAATTTTGAAACTATTAATTGATTCATCTCGTAACTAAAAAAAAAGAATTAATTTATCTAAAAACTATTTAATTTATGAATAAATAAATCTATGAATTCAAGAATCTAGAACTAATAAATCTATGAATTGATTAATCTACAAACTAATTAATCTTTGATTTGAATTAACTATAAACTAATTAATCTACGAATTCATTAATCTATGAATTGAATTATTTATCAACTAATTAATCTTTAATTTACCTAAACAATCTGCCGACAACATCCTTCTTCTTCCCTGGACCAAGAATCTACGCAAAATATATTTTTCCCCACATAACATGGACAAAAATGTTTTTATATTGTTTACATGAAGCGCACGAAGTGGGAATGCATTAAAACTCCGATCCACACAAAGAATGCTTTAAAGGGACTGTAAAAATTCAAGGGACTCTCTATGCTGAGAGGGGAATGCCCGAGATACAACGGTATCCTTAAAACCTTTCTGTGTTCGACGAGTACGGAGATGTATGTCTGATTCCGCTTATATGATCAGCTGAAAATTCCGCTGTGGCCTGCGTTGAGTTCAGACTGTACGCAGTGCACACCGATCTTACAATTACAAGCGCATTTAGATACGTTTACACACATATTTCTGCTAATGAATTGATTACTTACCACATTTCCACTACTCGAAGAACCACCAGCGTAAAAAGCCTATAAGTAAAGAAATGTCAAAAAGACTAGAAATAAAGAAATGTAAGAAGCCTTGTAGTAAAGAAATGTAAGAAGCCTGGTAGTAAAAAAATGTAAATGACTAGAAATAAAGAAATGTAAAAAGCCTAGTAGTGAAGAAATATAAAAAAGACTAGAAATAAAAGAAATTCAAAGAAGCCTGGCAGTAAAAAATTGTAAAAAAGACTAAAAATAAAGAAATGTAAGAAGCCTAGTAGTGAAGAAATGTAGGAAGCCTAGTAGTGAAGAAATGTAAAAAAAGCCTAGAAATAAAGAAATATATAAAGCCTAGTTGTTAAGAATTGTAAAAAAGATTAGAACTAAAGAGAGGAAAACAAATGTAAAAAACCAAGAGGAAAACAAACGTAAAAAACCTAGAGGAAAACAAATGTAAAAAACCAAGAGAAAAACAAATGTAAAAAACCAAGAGAAAAACAAATGTAAAAAACCAAGAGAAAAAAAAATGTAAAAAACCAAGAGGAAAACAAATGTAAAAAGCTTAGAGGAAAACAAATGTAACAAGCCTAGAGTAAAACAAATGTAAAAAGCCTAGAGAAAAACAAATGTAACAAGCCTAGAGAAAAACAAATGTAAAAAGCCAAGAGTAAAACAAATGTAGAAAGCCGAGAGTAAAACAAATGTAAAAAGCCTAGAGAAAAACAAATGTAAAAAGCCTAGGGAAAAACAAATGTAAAAAGCCTTAAGTAAAACAAATGTAATAAGCCTAGAGAAAAACAAATGTAAAAAGCCAAGAGAAAAACAAATGTAAAAAGCCAAGAGTAAAACAATTGTAAAAAGCCAAGAGTAAAACAATTGTAAAAGCCAAGAGTAAAACAATTGTAAAAAGCCAAGAGAAAAACAAATGTAAAAAGCCTAGGGAAAAACAAATATAAAAAGCCAAGAGTAAAACAAATGTAAAAAGCCAAGAGAAAAACAAATATAAAAAGCCAAGAGTAAAACAAATGTAAAAAGCCAAGAGTAAAACAAATGTAGAAAGCCAAGAGTAAAACAAATGTAAAAAGCCAAGAGAAAAACAAATTTAAAAAGCCAAGAGTAAAACAAATTTAAAAAGCCAAGAGTAAAACAAAAGTTAGCACAGATTGTAAAACGTCTAAAAGTAAATAAAAGTTCTAGAAGTATAGAAACGTAAAAAGACTAAATCAAACAGAAAAACGAACGTGAAAAGCCTGTAAATAAAGAATTGAAAGTACATATAATAAAGAGTCTCGAGGTACAAAAAGTTCTAGAAGTTAAGAAATATAAGTATAGGCAGTAAAAAGTCTACAAGTGCACAAAAGGTCTAGAGGTATAGAATAGTAAGTGCAGGTTGTAAAAAGTCTATAAGTACATAGAAGTTCTAGAACTAGATAAATATAAGAAGCGTTCAACCTGTCCTTCCTCCTCCTCCTCCTCTTCACTATCTGAACCCTGATCCAAGGGTAGACGGTTTATCCTAGGAACTGTCTCCAGTATTCCAACAGGTCTACCACCAGCCACAGAATCCTAAATCGGATATGTCGAGATTTAATATAAGCTTCCAAGCTTTACGAATTCATACATTGGCAATTGATCCTTGGCACACTTTCTTCGATTGAAACAATTTTTTTATCACAATTTCATGATCTTGGGTATAAAAACTTTCTTATTATATTTTATTCAGAAATAACCGACAAAGGACGGTTCAATAATATATATTTGTTTAAACCTGTGGAGGTATATCTTCAGGTACAGGTTCGCTAGGTTCAACTCCTTCCATACCATCTCCTTCATAGAAACTAGAGATTGCCAGATCCAACTAAATAATCAGATTGTAAATGCTCAGACTGTAATTAATCAGATTGCAATTAATCAGATTGTAAACAATCAGATTGTAAACAATCAGATTTTAAACAATCAGATTGTAAATATTCAGATTGTAAATAATCAGATTTTAAACAATCAGATTTTAAACAATCAGATTGTAAATATTCAGATTGTAAATAATCAGATTTTAAACAATCAGATTTTAAACAATCAGATTGTAAATATTCAGATTGTAAATAATCAGATTTTAAACAATCAGATTTTAAACAATCAGATTGTAAATAATCAGATTGTAAATAATCAGATTGTAAATAATCAGATTGTAAATAATCAGATTGTAAATGATCAGATTGTAAATTATCAGATTGTAAATTATCAGAATGTTAGTAATCAGATTGTAAATAATTATATTGTAAATAATCAGATTGCAATTTATCAGATTGGAATTTATTTCAAATGTCTAAAAATTACAAATAACAAATTCTTAAATATATTTGATGTTGCATTATAGAACAAATAGTTATACAAAAAGCTTACAAAATTAAATTTAAAAAGAAAAATGGGTTCGCAATTCCTGTGGTTATTGTTCATTGGTATATTTAAAATAATAACGTCCAACATTCGTCATCTTGTTCCACACTTTGATGGGGTTTACTGTAAATTTATCAGTTTTTAGATGTACGAGGAAGAAATGTTGGTATAAAAGCAGCATATAAATAATAAAAGCTAGATGTAGGGGAACGAACTGCCCTAAAACTGAAATAAATATGTTAAGTTTAATTAGAAAACACTGAATTGTGCTCAGAATAGATCCAACTATGATGTTGTCACAAAGCAAATAATTTTACAGTAACTTATTCAATCACTTGTCAAGTTTAAGGGGGTTGTTTACACTGTTTTACTGCCCAATTTCTGTGTCTTATGATGTTCATTGGACTATTTAAAGTCCCAACTTAAGTCTGAAAGTCATCTTCCTATTCCTGAGTATTCTGGTTCTCACAGTACAGTACGATAAAGATTGATTGGTCAATAAAACTGACCTGCATGTTTGCAGATTCCAGGTAGAACTTGGCTCTCTCAACATCACAACCGGTTATATTCTAAATTTTATTCTTTTAATTATTGAATTATTTAATATTAATTTGGTGATACGTTTATTGGGATCCTTTGTTTCGCAAGACTTTTTTGGATAAGTCTTTTTAAAAAGAATATGTTTTAATATGAATATTATGGCAATATTAACTGGACTAACTACAACGTTCAATCACTAACATTTGTGACAAAAAATATCACGGATTTAATTTAATTATAACTACTTCTTTGAAAAGAAATATATAATTCAATAAGAATCCGAATCCGAATAAGAATCCAAATCTAAATAATAATAATAATAATAATGTTGAGAACAGGTTGTAGACATGTTCTCAATGGAACAATGTGAACTAAGTATGTTTAATAAAACTGAAAAAATGTCAGTTTTATTTTGATTGGAAGATAGCAAATCTTTTAATAATTTATCCTCAAAAATAAAGTTTAAATATAACAACTAAGAATTGTTTCATTTTAAAAATGAGGTTACAAAAATAGGATCTTTTTACAAGAAAAATCAAAGAAACAGTAACAGAAATTTAAGAAGTCACGTTCTAATTACAACATTCATTAAAATCACGGGGGTTTACAAATAGTAAAAAAAGGTTCCAATAAAGTAGTTGGTATTCATTTTTAAGCATTGTCTTACAAATATACAGGTCTCTAACTGTACAATAAAAACGAGAATTAAAATTTTTTCGCAGTTTTTAATAATCCATGTTTTAAAAAAATATTCTTATCTTATAATTATTATATGGGGCGATTATTTATTAAAATACATTTTGCACTGATAAAGTACATATAGTACAGAGTGAAGTATCATGATAAAGTACATATAGTACAGAGTGCAGTATCATGATAAAGTACATATAGTACAGAGTGAAGTATCATGATAAAGTACATATAGTACAGAGTGCAGTATCATGATAAAGTACATATAGTACAGAGTCAGTTGCCTGCTTTCTCTCTAGCAGAACGGACCTACTATGCAGTCCCAGAATTGCAGCTGGGGAAGCGCTGTGTTTAGTTACGCATCTAGAATCCTACAGGGAAAGCAAGAATTGTACATAGATTAAAACAAAACTTCGTCCCTAGCGCTTGGCTCTGACACCCGATGGAGGAGGGAGATGTCGGGTTCAGCAGTCATCTCCCTCTTCATTATGAGAAGTTTAACCCCTCATCATGATAAAGTACATATAGTACAGAGTGCAGTATCATGATAAATTACATATAGTACAGAGTGCAGTATCATGAAAAAGTACATATAGTACAGAGTTCAGTAACATGATAAATTACATATATGTACAGAGTACAGTATCATGATAAAGTACATATAGTACAGAGTGCAGTATCATGATAAAGTACATCTAGTACAGAGTGCAGTATCACCCCAGATAAAAAGTACCATTCGATTTCTATTTACAATGTTAACAAAATGCTTAGTGACCCTCAATTTACATTAGTACCGTTATCTGACTAACAATGAGGTAAGATATAGTCATTTTTATCTTGAAACATGTTCAATCCTGACAATTTACTTCGTTGATTCTGCAACTTAATTCAGAAAATCACTTTATTAACACAACCACCACAAGATATCTTCATCAATGGCCAGATGACGAAAAAAAAAGTTAAGAGAAAAATATGACCAACCTGAAACTCCGCAATTACACCATCGTCCGCCATTTTAGTTTATATTTCTGCAAATATTCAAATCAATAGACAATAACAGATAATCCTTGAAATCTAAAAACAAAGTAGAAAGATCCAGAATGACTGTATCTTATCAAATAAGTTCATGTTTACACCGAGACTTTCTTCCCTAGCTTTCTCCCTTGACAGGACTTTCTACCCCCCCCATGCTTTCCCC